AAGATCAACTCTAAACAAGTCCTGAAACTTTTTAAGGTTTTTTTTACATAATGACAAGAAGACAGATATAGATACAGGAGTGATGAGCTCATTGAGGACGAAGAGCTGAACCTTTACTCAACTATTCAGAGTTGAATTAGCTTTCTTTTGCAGCGTTGACGTCCCTTGTTTGTTTCTGTTCAGGCCTGTTTGCTGCTGTCCCTGGAGAGTACGTACCCTCCGGCGCACCAGCTGTCACTGGACATGTTGAAGGTATCGAACACACACCGGCTGTAAAGAACGACTCTTCACTGAAGTGGAACTGTTATATTTAATTGCCGTTGTGTGTTTTCAGCGTCTCTCCACGGCCAACGACGAGATCGTCGAGGTTCTGCTGTCGAAGCAGCAGGTTCTGGGCGCGCTCAGATTCATCCGCAGTGTCGGTACGTTGATGTTTGATTTATCTACCTGAATACACGCAGAAGGCTCGGTGAACTAACTCGGTTTCACTGGGAGCAGGCGGCCACGACAACGTGTCGGCGAGGAAGTTTCTGGGGAACGACCTGAACACGGTGGTAGAACAACATCTGGTCTCCGGTCTTGAGACGGGTTACCGTTCACAGGGGACGGGGTAACCCTCGAAAAACGACGGGTGGTGTACACCGGTGGTCAGGGAAGCCGTCTGAACTGGACAGAAGGAGGGCTTCCGGGATATTTTATCCCGGGGGACTCCGCAGGCAGTGCAGGGTACCCGGACAACCCGAAAGAGACTGCAAGCCGCAGCTCGTTGAGGGAAATCAAAACAGCAGGTGTTGGGAGGAGTTTCGGAGAAGTCATGGACGAAGGACTTTCAGGACGGCACCAGGCGTTTCTGGAACCTCAGGAGTGGGAAGCGGGGAAACCATCAACAGGGTCAGACCTAAGTTTTTGCATTGGTGCACTGGTGTGGGCCTAACCTTTTTTTTTAGGTGCACCAGCCAAAATGTAGGTGCACCCAAAGTTTTTCTTGCACACTTTTTTAGTGCTCTCATGAACTTCATATAATGTGAATGATGTTTACAACAAAATCAACGGGGTGTAGAGAAAATGCTGTTCTTTATTTGATGGCACAGATGTATATACTAAGGAAAAGAAGGGAATAAAGTGTTTAAGAGTTGCTTCACTGAGCTGAAATTGGAACATTTCAACACTAAACGACACTACAGCAAAATAAAACATTTGCCAAATAAAGCAATCAGATACGAGAACGTTGTGAACCGCTCACGAATGCACTATTTTCAGAAGGTATTCTGACCGCAGCTCTTGACAGTACACGCAGTGCATTGGCGTAACGTCCTTGTTGTTGTACCTCAACCAGGGAAATTGTTTCAGCCAGTCCTGTTGCTGAGAGGAAGTATATTTTGGCCTTTTTAATTTTGGGTGTCTCGGACCGGCGCTCGTATCCAACCGGTTGTCCTCGCGCGTCCTGCTGGTTCGAGTTTCTTGGATGCTGTCGGCCCGAAGGACCGGGCTCGGCAATTTTTAAACCAGCACAACTTAGAACAGGACGCACACGCCAATCAGAGGCAAAGGAGAAACGGATATGATCCTACGATGAGTGTGTGAGGTTCGGTCAGCAGGAGAACACAGAGAGATGATTGCGCTTGCGAGAATAAATGTATGTTTTCACCGGCAGCGTTCAGTTGCACCAGTGCGACCTAGAAAATTATTTAGTCGCACTCTTAAAAATTTGGTCGCACTGATCTCGTCTGTGGGTGTG